AGGAAGGGCCGGCGGCTGCCCGCAGCGCAAGGGGGAGCTGGCTTTCCTCGCCCTCAGCCTTCAGCTCTCTCTCCAAAGGCCCCGTTATGTCTATATTAGCTGCGCTATGCTGTGGGTGTAAGGCGTAGCCTCTCTGCCCTCCCGTTGCCTCAACAGGCCTCATTGCGCCGGGCAGTAAGGTCATCCCCGAGAGCAGCAGCTTTTGGATGGCCTGAAGGTGTACGTTCAGCCGTCTCGTAGCAAAGATCGCAGATATGTAGTACTGGGGCTACGGCGTTAACATTAACAGCCCGGTGGCTGGTGGAAAGGGCCCTTGGTGCCCGTCTCCCCGCTGGCGGCAGGGCCACGGGCAGGCCCGTGTGACTGCAGCTCCTCACCCCCAGCTCCCCTTCGCTGTCGCTGGCCTCCCTACCGCCCTTCCTCCCCAAAAGATTGAAGCCAAGAACAAACTAGCTACCGCGCAGGTAGGAAAACCATGGCTTGCGTTAAAACTTGTGAAATAACTCAGAATTTGTTTCAATGCTTTACAATTTAGCTGACGGTGGTCTTCAGCCCAGTCCCCGATTGGCAAAGGTAAAACAACAGGCATCAAGAATGCCAATGTCAATCAGTTACACTGAATTAGTGTCATTAAGAGCTAACGGATGTAATTAAACTCGGCATCAAAAAAATAAATGTGTTAATACTGGCAAAGACCGGCAACGGAGAGAGAATTTTCCACTGCGGAAACACGTCTGCAGAGCAGTGGGACAGCTGGCTCCTGGTTCGGTACCTGGCCCTGGCTTCGCTGCTCACCCGGGCTCTCATCCAGAAAACCAGGTGTGCGAGTACAGTAGCTATTTGTGCCCTTTGTTACACTATTTGATAGATTAAGAATTTCAGCAGGTCAATCATCCTGCTTCCTCATTTTTTAAAACGAGTTAAATACAAGTTATTTTTTAGTGCACCAGGCTTATTGAAGGCTACATACTTGCGTGTGTAAAACAGTTTATAGCTTTGAGGTGAAAGGTCCTGAGAAAACACAAAGATGCTACTATTATTTATATCATTATAGCTCAACTACACCATTTCTTCTATTAACTTTTTATTCTATGGCTTGAGGACTCATATGTGGTCAGTGATCACGTCACGTAATTGTTTTGTTTTAAACAGTAAAAAAAACCCAAACAAACAAATTCACAATGTAGGGTATAAAAAGAACATTTTTAGTCCATGAGGAGATAAATTCGAAGTGTTTGGAGAATGAAAGACAGAAACAAACCCTATTCTGTCACTCCGAGGAAGTCTTGAACAACAAGAGTAAAATCCTATTTGATACTGCACACTTCTTCATTATATGTCTCCCTCTCTGTTTTAAATTGCCACTTTCTAATCTCTAAATCTCCTTTTGTACAAGTATTTGCAACTTTTTTTTCAGCTTAATCTTCAGAAAAATAGTGGTAGAATATCTTGGCCCTCCTTCCATTTGTTTGGTGTCACTCTGGAAGCACAATGCAGATAAAAACCGTCTGGGACTTGTAACACGATGAAGACTACAGGAGGAGCATGGTCGTAGCCCTCTCCTTTTGGTAATCCCCATCCAACAGAGAGACAGTGCAAAGCTTTACCCCCCAGTGGAAATCAAAAGGCATCCAAAGCTGCTGGAAATTTCACCCAGGGTTCAGCTGGCTTCTCTACAGCCCCTGGACAAAAGCAGAAAAGAGGAACAACAACAGCATAGATTTGGTGTTAATTGAAAAGTTCAGTCTTGATGCTTGTTTTTGATTCATGCTGACCCAGCTGGCTCACAACTGTAATATCATTACTCTGTTTACTACGGTATATTTACTTGAGGCTTCTGTGAGAGGGTAAAAACCCCTGGGTCCACTCAAACCCCATGGACTGAGCGGGGGGCCAGCTGGGGGTTACTCTCAGCTGCCAAACATGGCCCTGTCAGCAGCCTGTGGGGGACGTAAAGGCTCGGTGCAATCCCCCAGCTATCGACCCCTCAATGCCAAAAGACAAAGGCCTTCCGACTGAGAAGTACTCTGGGAAGGGTTTGGCTGAAGTCCAGCGGCTTTTAGTGTGTCACAAAACGAAGCATGTTTGTGGTACCGAGAAGAGAGAGGTAACAAAAGTGAAAAACTGTCCAAGAATAATGACAAGGTATCAGACTTCATAAAGCCCTTTGACTTTGAGGAAAACTCTGGATGTTCTTTTGTGATGTGCAGAAGAAAATGGGAGGTTGCCCTACAAGGCAACAGTAACCCCGTTAAGTGCTCTTATGCCACAGTACGTGACCCAACCGTAATGGGTAAGTGACAAACCAAGACAGTTTATGGCTCTCATGGAAGCAAGATTGCCTCAAAAGCAAAACTGGCTTAAAAACTCCTACCCCTCCCTTTGCCCTTCTCATCCATTTCTCACTGCTTACCCTCTAGGTAGACAACTGTGGCAGCGCTGTACAAGGCGCTGAACACGAGATCACTGAAGTGATACAAATTGCAGGATCAGTATTGCTGAAAGATTATGTTTTATTCACATTATTTCAGTGACCTGGCTTAAAGTGCAGCTTCATATGCACATCGCGCACTGTGCACACTGTGGCGAAATAATTCTGAATCTACCACCATCAGCATCGTGGCTAACACATTGTCCACCGTTGCTCAGGTTGAATCGCGAAACATCCTGCAATGCCATCCAATTTGGTGGATCTCTTTTAGAAAATGCACATTTTAGAAATGTACCTTTGATTGCTACTGAGCTGTCTGCTCAGTGGCAGTGATCTTGCAAATTCAGTTGGAAAAAAAAATGGCATTAATACTGTACTTTGCAAGTCAAAGATAAAATTATACAAGACATTCCAGAAAATGGAGGGGGGGTAGTGAACAGAAAAAAGCTACTGAGAACAACTAATTTGTATTACTGTTATCTTCTTCTGCCCTCACGTTTTCTGGCTTTCCTGGTTCAAGTTTGGCTGACACATTAGATATGAAATATTTTAACAGTCTAATAGAGATACAGTGTTCTATCACAGCGCTCTAATCCTTTTTATTATAGCAAGACAACTAATCTATGGCATACTCTGTCTTTAAACAGCCATCCACAACAGCTTCATGGAAAAAAAGAACATCTGAAATTTTTTTTGCTTCTTTTCTCTATTCTTGCTCACAGGTTTTAGTTTCAAACTACAAAACAAGCAGATAATCTGCTAGCTAAATCAGATTTTTTTTCCAGACGGGAGTTAAAGCAATTAACGTGAAGCAGCAAAACAAAATAACAAGATGCCACAGAAGTAGAAAGGAGACAAGGCCAACTATAACTAAAGGAGTGGATAGCCATTAAAGCAACACCCCAGAACATTATAAAAAGCTAGCTGTGGTGACAGCTAAAATTGCAAAATAAAAAAATTGTCCCTTAAACTGCAGATATCAACATCTCCACACGCTTACACATGGCTGCTGATAATTCTTCACACTAAAGAGCAAGGCTTTCAAGCTGATAGATTCAACGTACTGCAGGCTGGTAGTCTGGGCACAACGGAAAACACATAGCACATCAATCAATGAGTTTCAGAAACAAGGTTTGTGACATGGAGCATGAAATACGTATTTTGGTGATTAAGCTAGTTAATTAAATGGAATCTGTTTTAGCAGTTTTACAAAATAGATTTCCATCAACTTATCCCCTTGCCGTGCCCAGAATCACACCAGAACAGTCGCTCTACAGCCATGTGCTCCCATCTCCAGCACTTACTAGAACAACCATATGTGACAACAATTTGGTGTGCTTGGAAGAAAGACGTGTACAGAAATTTAACCCACAGGCTATGGCACCAAGTCTCAAATGGCATCTCTGACCACCTCAAATGCAACATTCCTCTTCTAGAAATATGAAAAAATCTGTTTCTTCTTCTTTAAATATGGAAAAATATTCAAACACGTCTTCTTGATCAAAACCTAAATAATGCAAATTCCAATAACAATCAGCCCTCCAGCTCTCCATATAAATAAAGATACAGGTATACTCATGCACAGGAGTGCTTTTTCCTGTGTCTTTTACTTTCTCCCTCAGTGGCTGCAGATCCTAAATCTTCCCGCCTGCTCCTCTCATCATAACCAAGCACAGTTATCAGCAACCTTGCTGGGCTCCCCGCTATTATAGATCAGCTGAGAGACACACAAAAAGTTTAAAGAACACTGAGCTTAGGGAAGCACGGGAAGAAAAGGGAAAAGTGGTGCAGAACTGTAATCTTCGGTGCTTTCACTCTACAAACAAGAGATGAGCTACTCACAGATCACCACACATCCATACTACCTGCCCATCAACACAATAAAAAATATGCATTTGCTTACATGAAACTAGGGTTACACTAGTTGATCTGCTTAAATTCAGTGAGTAAACTCGAGATATGCCAGGTTTATGCCTGAATGGGATATACTAGGGAAGCATTGCCTTTCATTAAACTTCTTTTTTTAATGGCGGTGCAAGGATGAACGTTCATCAGCTCTCCCACGACTGTCTTCTAGTTTGGTATGTGTAAGCCATGACAGATGAGTGATTACATAGGAATTAACACCTTACTCTTCTAAGTGTTAATTAAACAGCCAGTTCTCTTCTTGTAGCACACTACTTTTCCCCCATCCTACGCATGTTTTTGAGAAGAGGAATCAAACGTCTTCCTCTCTTACCTATCTGTAATGTGTTTGAGCATTTACATTGCAACACCTGTGTAACCACATTTAGCAGTTCTAATTTGTTGTACTGATTTTTTTATTGTTATACCTCAAAGTTATTCTAGAATTCAGCATGCAAGGTGCAGAAAAATAAATCTAGGGTGATTTGGTTTTGTTCCCCCGGCAAAATAAAACCTATTTTGAGTGGAGAAATCACCAAAAGGGGTATTTTCTTAATATGGATTAATTTCTCTGTATTCATTTTTATCATCCTATAGCTAAGAGAAATGAAACGTTCCCGAAGTGAAGAGTCAGAGTTTTGGCTTATACTGTTTCACCGAATTTTTGCAAATTATTTTTCAAAACTGTTTTCACACAGAGCTCTTTAACGGAGTGGTGGTACCATAATAAAAGAGGTAAACTTGTATTGTTAGAGCAGATTATCATTAGCACTCTGCATTTGCAATAGTAAGTTTCATTAAAAGGAGAAAGAATTCCATTGCAATGTAAGAATGTAGATTTATCTAAA